AACGGGCAGGCGGCCGCCCCGCTGCCCCCCAGCGCGCCGGGGGGCCCGGACAACACCAACGGGGTGCAGATGCTGCGGACGATCGGCGTGGGGAAGTACGAGTTCACGGACCCCTGGCACCCCAAAGGTAAGACGGGCTGGTTGGCCCCGCGAGGTCTGCGGGTGGCGGGGCCGGGATGCCGCTCTCCTCGGGCTCCTGCCTCTGTCTCCCTGCGTAGCTGCCATGCGTAGCTGGTACGAGTTAATGACAACGAAAAGCAGCGTCTTAGAAAGAGGGAGAGTGAGCGGTGGGTGTGTTTTGTAGTGAAAAACAGCTTTCAGGCCTGTGAGAGAAGCTGGTGCTCCCGATGGTAAAGCAGCCATCATCCTGTGCCTCTCCCGTGGAAACACACACACCTGTGTTTCTGTTCAGCTCTTCTGGCTTCAATGGGCATTAGTCACAACACTATAACCTTCCTCTTCAACCGTTGTCTTCTCCCCTCTGTAGTAGGAGCCCAAGCCAAACACAAGTAACCTTCTGACTGAAGCTGAACAACCCAAAACGATCCCTTTTAAAAAGAAAACTCTTCATTACCAGCTTCACTGGGATCAAATGCTGCAAAACACCCTGAATAGTCATGAGCTTTCCTGAGAGGCTGACCTTTTCTGATAAGTAGTTTGTAAATGAGCCGCACTGTTGGGTCATGTTGGAGTGTTATTTTCAAGTATCTTGCCCTGCACGCTTAAAAACTACCTACACTGTGTACTTAGTTTCTAATTTCACTTACAGAGCTTCCCCTGCCTCCCTTAAAAATCATGACTGTGCCACATGTAAAGCAAAATGGAGCTTACAAAAATATAAATGCAGACCTATCAGCAAAATCAATTAAATTGATTTTTTAAAAAACACCCCAAAGGCTTCATTAAGTCTGTGATATTTTATGTATACATTTGTATTCAGACACAATCCATGTGTAAATTATTTACTTGCCACAAGCTATTAAGTTCTGTTGTGCAGCTCTGTACTAAAGACCAGGAATCTCTATTAAAAATGATTAGTCCAATAACTCTTCCTGCTCATTACGTAAATTGTACTTTGGTATGTGCAAATCCTTACCAAACGTGTCTTGAGAAGGAGTTCAGGCACAAGCTGAGCAGTACTTTTCTAAAGCTAAATATTTGGACTTCTTTGAATTTTTTAAGTCCATCCCCAAATATGAGAATGCTTGCTGGATGGTGAGCTTCTGACTTTTTTCTGAAGATCGTGATCGGTTTTAAGGGATACTGGCCCCATCAGGTAACCAAAAACCGACCAACAATTGTTTCTAAGAGATTTTTTTAATTCTTTCCCTTAAAAAAAAAAAATAATAAAAAAAATAATTTGTCAGGTCAGGTTTTTAAGTTACAAACCTTTACCTGTGACGGGGCTTTGAGCAACCTGGTCTAGTGGAAAATGTGCCTGCCCATGGCAGTGGCGTTGGAGCTAGATGATCTTTAAGGTTCCTTCCAGTCCAAACCATTCTGTGATTTTGTAGAAGGAGAAACGGGAAGAGATTCATATTCTTGAGCTGTAGTGGTTCTGCTGGATGTCTTTCTTCTCTATGGAAGCTATTTGTCTTCTAAAAGGCATCACCTCCACTTTTCATAGCCACCTATCCCAATTTACTACACTGGGTACTCGGATACATGATCAAATTAACACAATTTAAAGGATTACTTGGTGTCATTGGAAACATACAAATACACAATACAAGGAAAAACACATAAGCTTAAACCACTTTCACTGTGGTAATTTGATCACATATCTGAGCCCTAGTGACACTAACCTAGTGAGACAAATGAGCACGTCAGTGACTGCACTCTTGAGGTTAGGAATACTCTTAAATGCCTTGCATACTTAGGGCCAGCAGCATCAGCTGTTATTCACTCTTCCTCCATCAATTAACCTTCAGCATATCTCTGCCTAGAAGATGAAACTTCAAATTGGAGCCTAAGTAAAAAGATCATAAAATACTTAATCAGTCTTTTAATATTTGATTTGCAAAGTATTAGTCAGCGTTCTTGCTTAAACTGCTGTAAACCCCAGTCTAGTCTAGTGGTTCAAGCAGCACGGAGTGCAGTCAGCTGGGCAGGTGTTCATTAAGGTGAGGAGGAGAGTTCCTCAGTGGAGGATGCCAGGCACACAAGACCTAGGTCTGGTCTGGTATTTGGAAACCTGTGTACCTAGGAGAGGCTCGTAAGGAGTATACCGGAAAAAGCAGTATTTTTAATCCTTGACAACTGCTGACACATTAGCCACACTGTACCTCATAAACTGCAAGCTAGACAACTTTTTTTCCCAGGGATTAGCTAGCTTCTCCGTGACCACCAGCTATTGAGTTATTCCTATTCCTGTTGGGGTTAAAAACAAACATAAGATAGTGAAGTATGCATATACAAATGTCTCATAACCAGTACCTACTTCATAGAGAAAAAGGAATCTCTTCCTCCTTTTCCAATCCTAAAAGACCTTACGTGTTAAGCTGTAATTCTTCTCAATACCTGAACCCAAAGAACATACGTGTTTGGTTTGGTTGTATTGACTGGGAAAGAAAGAATCAAGAAAGAGAAGACAACTGGGTATCTAATTAGACCTTAAAACCTCACTGGTATAAGTTTCCTAATAAAAATTGTGCAGATTTCAGTGTGGCTCAATTTTTAAATTCTTTTTTGTTTTAATTTCTGCCCTCAGGGATTTCAGTCTCTAAAGCCTGACTGATTTCAAAGTGTCAAATGATAGGCACCTTTCTCTCTGGGTAGGAATGGAAACTATGAGAGAGTATTAAGCCGTTCAAATACACAAGGTCAAACTAGTTCTCTACAAGTTTCATTTAAATATTCTCTCTCTTTCTTGGGGAACCTTGGCCAGTATTATAATAAGATCCACTGCTGATGGCCTTAAGATCTATCTCATTATCCTGAGATAGTCTGTATTATTATTTCACTTGACAATATGGTCTTGTACAGATTTGAATAATTACCCAACTATCCCTTAAGTGAAAGAGCAGTTCTTCCTGGTTAATGATAGGGTTTATTATATTTTTAGCCTTTATTAGGGAGCTGATTTAAAACACCCATGTTTTGTTTGCCATGGTTATCTTTCATTTGGCTGTGTACGTGTTTGGGTCATATTATGCTGTATTCATGCAGAACTACATTTCTGGCTTGGCTGTTTCTAAACAAAAGTAAAAAAATCAGTTGGCAAAAGTCGAAGGCAGTGCTAGTGTGCCCTCCCATTTGCAATAGGTCAAGAGATCTCACTTACATGACTGAGAGTGTTGAGTCATTTCCATGGCTGTGCAAAAAATACATTTTGATAACAAGAATCGTGATACAGAACAGATATGTCATTCTCCTTACAGTATCACAGCTAATTCCTACTTAATTCCATTGGAACTACTTGTAAGAAAATAATTTTTGCATGGATTAGGGAATATTTTTGGTCTGGATGGGTTATATTCAGTGAAGGGATTTTTTATTGCTTCTGTAATATGCTAAACACGAATGTTAAGTTTAGCTACATGATCCATTTACTTAGAGAATTTATAAAGCAGTCATATTATGAGAGACATAAATGATGTTTCAAAGTAATTATTGCTTTTAGCAATGTGTGAAGAACTGTACAGCTGCCTTATGAAATGGAGAGGATCTTTCACCATCCACAGTCAACAGCAGTTTTGAGAGGTGTCTGGTTTGGCCTGTAATTGCCCTTTGGATGGTATTTATGCCAAATACGCCTAGCTGACTTCAAAAGCCATGTCATGTAACCTGGTATTTTAGAACAGAATCCTGTTTTCTGTCCATGTCCTAAGTCTTGCTCTGCAATCTGAAGTTTAAGTGCCAGGGGAATTAATGGAGCAGAATTTCCATAACTGTGAAGATTTACATAGTCATATGAAACATATTCAGTGAAGATCCACTGAAGTTCACATGGCCCAATTTTTATGTGGCTTCTTCAGAAAATACAGAGCTGCAAATAATATTCAAACATAATTTCAGTATCTTCAGGCTACATGATGTGCCAGCACAAGTTGTCACTCACACAGCATGCCTGCAGAGAAGAGAGAGATGGAAATCATCCCTCCAGTTTCTGACACAAGGTCCTGGTGTCCCATGCCATGGCACAGTGACAGAGACCAACATCTATGTGCCTGCCAGTCCAGTTGAGCCCAAATGGAGAGAAATTAGTCTGATGAAGGGCTAGAAGAGGTTGGTTTCCTTGCAGAAATAACTGAGTCACTAAATCCTTGACTTTTTCATAGAGCAGTATGTTTCTTTACGTCCAAGACTTGTATTAAATCCAAAACTGAACCCTTGGTGGATAACCCTGCCATATGTAGGACATAAATGTTCAGGCTTGGACTCTGTGAGATCTGTTACACATTTGAAAAGACACTTTCTCCATAAACTAGACATACTTTGATGCATAGTCACTAACACAAAAATGAGGAAAATACCATTCTTCCTTGCAGCACTTTCTCCTGCAGTTTCAAATTAGCCATGGGTGTCGTGGGTTTTAATCTGTGGATGTTCATAGATAGTATTGATATTTGTTTCCATATTATTTTTGTTCTATAATTCTTTGGTTTACAGTCTTTAACTAGTGGAAAAAGAAATCAGAAAATCAGATGCTAATTAGTGTTCAGAATGTAATGACAGTAGAAACATAACAATATCAAATATAAAATCTGAATATTAATGTTAATTCTTGTAGCACTAATTTCTTAACATCTCATTTTCAAGCATCACCAAATACCACAAACTAAACAATAACAAAGCTACAAACAAGTACTGTTGCATCATCACTTATTGATTGCACCTTTCACACTTGACTTTATTGCATTGGAATTCTCATTAGACCTGAGACAATATTTACTTTCCTTAATCATGAATAGTAACAAGACAGACTACAACATTTTGTCAATAACCATCCACTTTTTCTTCACAAAAGTCTGAATTTCCAAAGGGATTTCAGCTTGACCTGTAGTTGTGAGTGTGCCTATTTCTAGACATGAATGCTGGGGCATTGAGGGTTTTTAAATCGAAGTACACCCTACCATTTGGAATTCTAATAACATTAATTAAAGGATAATGTGTCATGAAGATTCT